TAAAAAGCCTTTTTTCTTTTTTTCCTTCCCCTTCCCGCGGAGGTTCCCCCGCTGTTGAGGTGCAGAAGGGGCGATAATACGCGGTTTGCATACGGCTGGCGCCAGCCTGGCTCGCTGTTTATCGGCGCGGCCGCGGAACCGGGCAATTACCGCCGCCGGCTTAAAGCCGCAGGGCCCCGCCGGGCGCACCGGGGCCGCGGGCGGGAGGGGGCTGCGGGGGCTGCCCCGGCCACCAGGGAACGCCGAACCCACGGGGAAGCGGGGAGGGGGGAGCTGGAGCTCTGGCATTTCTGGGGCTTTTCCTATTTTATTTATACCGTGGGCAGAGGGATCCTGGAGGACACCGACCTCCCGCTGACGGTCCCTTTCTTGGCAAGAGCTTTGATTTATTTTTTTTATTTTTTTTTTTAATTTATTTTGCAATCCGGGATCTTGCCTCGCTTTGCATCATTTCTTTGAAAGAAGCGTCTACGCTGGGCGTGCTTCCCCCGAAGATCACTAGAGGCTGGAAGCAGCTTTTTTTCTTTTCCCTTCAGATGTGCGTTTGTAGGAACTGTGCGTTTCTTGTAGAAATGGGCAAAGTTTCCAACTCGCTTTCCTGCAGCGGTAGTTGTTTTCCCAGCGGTGTGTGGCTGTGAGCCCTGTGCAGGGAGTAGTAGAGAGCAGAGCTTTTTTCGAGTGGCTCCTTATCTTTTTGATAGTGGGTGTCTGTGCCAGGGCCCCACCCGCTGCGACTGGGTGCTGGCAGCCGCGGCGGGAATCTGGGAAAGGCCCTGGTGCGCTTTTCCACAAGTGTTTGGTGCAAAGACCGTCCGTGTTTGTCACCCAGTTTACGGAGGGGTGACGTAGCTGAGCGGTGTGAAAACTTCTCAGTGCTTCGAAGAAGTCCCCTGTGGCAGCAGGTCTGGTGTAGCGTGGCACGAGTTGGGCCATTACGTCCAGACTGGGACATTGGCACCATAATTTATTGTTCTGAGACTTCAGTGCTCTCTGAGAAGAGCATCTTGTTGCTGGGCAGCTTTCTCAGTTAGGGGAGATGAGGAACCTTTTCTTGGAAGCAATGAATGACCACGGGCCACCCCAGAGCCGTCACACGGGGGATGCTGAGGTTGTTCTTGATGAAATAACTCAAGCTGAGCTGCAGTTGTTGGGCTGAGTTCTTTGGGGTTTGGGTTCCATGTGGGAACTGAGGAGCGCACCTTTGTTACAGTGGTCTGGGGTCAATGTGATGCCATCGGCTTTCCAGGACAATTTCCCACTGAAGTCAGTGTCTGCTCAATGCTGGTGCTGTGATAGAGCCCAGCCGGCTGCAAGCTCCTCAATTTCAGCAAGTTATGATTCTAGAACAAAATCAGTGCCGTGATTCAGAAGGAAAGAACCCTCTAACCAATGCAAGAAGGTGATGGAGGACCTTCTTCAGCCTTTTGCATCCTCCTGACTCTTAAAAGCGCAGCAAGAGCCAGTTAGATGACCTGATTCAGCAAAGCACTTTTGGGGACTTGCTTCACTTGAAGCACATTCCTAAAAACTGCTTAGAGCCGAGCGGGTGTTGGGGAGCCTTGCTGGATCGAGGTCAGCGGGAGCGGGGCAGGAGAGGCTGAGCACGGCCGTGGGATCACGGGGTGCTTGTTGGAACAGACCCGAGTTCCTTTGGTGGCTTGTTGGCTGCAGCCAGCCTGGCCCGTGGTGTCGGGCTTCGCGTGCCAAGAAAGGAGTGTCTTTTTGTCACCTGACACCCTATTTCAGTCGTTGTAGTGTAGTATTTGGGGAGCTTTTGTTAAGCCAGTGTCTGCGCTTGAGCCACGGTTGTCCTCAGCGCAGATGATGAAAGCTTCGTTCTTTGGGAGCAATGTGCTGTCCTGTGTGCTTGGGGTCAGGGGTGCCCTGGCAGGGAGGCGGGGCGGGGGCGTAGCGGGGAAATGGCAGCATTTTCGGTAGTAGGTAGACCTTCGAAAGGTCAAGGTGGAACCCCTGTTCTTCAAAGATTTGGAAAACTCTTGGTCTCAAGTTGCTTCCAAGTGGATTTTCTTCCATTGGGTGTTTATAACCTTGGAAGAGGTCCTACCCTGAGAGAGAAAGCACGAGGGTTTCGTTGATAAACCGAACGCTGCACTAACATAAAGTTTTGTTTTTCCAGAGTCTCCACCACCTCCCTACTCTCGGCTGTCTCCTAATGATGAGCAAAAGCCACTGGGTATGTGTTTTCTCTCTTTTGATCTCCCGGCAGCTCTTTTGTGGTGCAGTCCTGGTGTTGGTTCTAGGACATCCCTACGTGGCACATCAGGCAAAAGCCAACAAGTCGGGATTTTATGGCTGCTCATTATTTCTGAGCAAGCATCAGCTGACGGGTTTTAAGAAGTAAATGGATGGCAGTTTATCATACCAAATTACCGTGTAGACACATGCATATTTTCCAAAATAATATGAAGCACTATTTTTAATGGAGGCGTAATGAAAGGTTGCCAGACGTCATGTTTTGTCTGTGTGTTTAATCTGTGGGATGACGGAGCGGAGGGGGAGTGGGAGCTCCTGGGTGCCATTTCCATAAAGCCCTGGCTGCGCTGTGCCACGGAGGAACCGGCTCTTACCCTTCCTCTGCATATTAAAACGAGACATAAACTCTTTGAAACTCCGCGCTGTGTAATTCCGGAATGGTGTTTCACTTTTCCTGAGGAATTAAAAAAGCTTTTTTTTTTTTTTAAAAAAAAAAGGCTAGTGAAAGCAGCTTGGGTGGGCAGGCTGGGCACGAAGCGAAGGCTGCTGGGGAGCCTGGCACAGTGCAGCCTTGGATCCTGCGTGGTGCCCGCTGGCTTGGAGATGTTTGGAATTGGCATCACCGCATCCGGAGCGGCCTTTCTCAGCGCCCGCTTCTTGCTAGAAGCGAATGGGAAGCAAAGACGCAGGAGGGGAGGGAGGAATCCCACGTCCCTTTTGGGTTTCTGACCAGGATCCGTGCAGCTGTGGCCGCATCTGGAGGGTGGGATTGCTCCCTTCGTCCCAGAGTCGGTGGCTTTGATTTACGGAGGGGGCAATGACCGAGGCGAGGCGCTTTCGCTCCCCATCGGGCAGGGACAGGGAGGAGACAGGCAGGGTTTGCCAGGGCGATAGGAGCGGGACGGCCTGCCTGTCCCACCCAGCCCCGAGGGGAGGG